TTTTGCGAAGTGCATGGGCTTTTTTCTTGTCATCAGGTACGGTTCCATACTGCAAAAAAGCTACAATCTCGTTCCTCTAATCCCAAGTTAAATTATTAAAATTTACCTTATTCTTGTCAGGGTCGAGAACTGAATGAAATAAATGAATAACTGAGGTATTTGCATCGCTTGCCACGTTAGCCGCAGATGCGAGATTAGCTAAAGCGTCTGCTTCAAGATTTTCATCCCTTGGTATTTGTGTAACTTTCCAGGTTTGAAATTGCTTTATTAACTCCCGCACCTTTTCTAAATATTGCTGCATCCTTGCTTCCCTAGCTGTATAAGTCTCCAGCATTTGATTAACCACGAGTTGTGAATCGCTCTTGATTATAATCTGATTTATGCCAAGTTCTCGTGCCAATTCTAAACCTGCAATTGCAACCTCATACTCTGCCTCATTGTTAGTTATTGAATGACATTTGAAAGCCTGTCGAATGGTTTCACCCGTAGGTGGTACCAAAACAATCCCTAAACCTGCTCCTTTTACATTAGATGAACCATCAACGAATAAAGTCCAAGTTCCTGGATTAGCTCCATTGAGCACCTATAATTCTTTTTGTGCTTCTAATTGCATGTCGTGGCTAAAATCAGCCACGAAATCAGCTAACACTTGTGATTTTATAGTAGTTCTAGGTTGGTACGTGATTTCGTATTCACTTAACTCTATTGCCCACTTAACCTACCTGATAATTCATGCTTATGCAATATATTACGTAAAGGATAGGCGGTTACTACAGCAATAGGATGACACTGAAAGTAAGGCCTTAATTTCCTAAATGCCATGATTAATGCGAGTGCAAGCTTTTCCAATTGAGGATACCGCGTTTCCACATCTAACAAAGATTTACTAACATAATAGATAGGGATTGTTTACCTTGTTCGTCTCGAACCAAAACCGCACTTACCGCTACTTCTGAAACAGCAAGGTAAATGAGCAATCTTTCCCCGGCCTTTGGTTTTGCTAGTAATGGTGGATTTGATAAGTACACTTTCAAATTCCTGAGTGCTCGCTGACACTCTTCGTTCCATTCAAAATGATCCTGCTTCTTAAGAGCTGAGAAGAATTGAAAACACTTCTCTGATGATTTAGAAATGAATCTTCCCAAAGCTGCAATCCTCCCTGTTAATCTTTGAACCTCTTTCTTGCTCGAGAGTATATCAGGGATTTCTTCAATGGCCTTAATATGTGCAGGATTTACCTCAATACCACGGTTAGAAACAAGAAAACCTAAGAACTTACCTGATGCAACACCAAATGCACATTTTTCGGGATTTAACTTCATATTAAATTTTCGCAAAATTTTAAAAGTTTCAGATAGATGCGATATATGATCTCCTGAATGCTGAGTTTTAACAAGCATATCATCTATATATACCTCCATAGTTTTTTCCAAATGCTCTTGAAACATTTTGGTAACTAACCTCTGATACGTTGCTCCTGCATTCTTTAGACCAAAAGGCATTACTTTATAATAGTAAGTCCCCATGTCTGTTATGAAGGAAGTTTTTTCTTCATCTCCTGGATCCATTTTAATCTGATTATACCCTGAATATGCATCTAAAAAACTTAATAGTTCATGACCTGCAGTTGCATCAATCAATTGATCTATGTGTGGTAGTGGAAAAGAATCTTTAGGGCAGGCTTTATTAAGATCTGTGTAATCTACGCAAACCCGCCACTTACCGTTCTTTTTTGGAACTACAACAGTGTTGGCTAACCAGTTAGGATACTTTACCTCACGAATAGAGCCAATTTTTAGCAATTTTTGTACTTCTTCTTGAGTCACCTGATTCTTGAAAGTTCCTTGCTTTCTTTTCTTTTGCTTGACTGGAGGATATGAAGGATCTTCATTTAGTTTATAAGTCATCACCTCCGGTGGTATACCTGTCAGGTCTGTATGGGACCAAGAAAAACAGTCTGCATTAGCTTTTAAAAATTCAATTAACTTACGCTTCACCTCCGGGCTAAGATTAGCTCCTATATACACTTTTCTCTCTGGCCAGTGTATAAACAAAACCACAGCCTCCAACTCTTCTATCGTCGTTTTGATGTTTTCATTTTCCTCTGGTTCTTGAATGGAATCGGGCCTTGAATCTACATCTGTTTGCTCTTGCTTAGTTGAGGTTGACGCTATGTTATCCTCAACTGAATTCTGTAATTGCTATTTTTCTTCACCCTTCGTGCTTGAGTCTGCCACGGAGTTGATGTTCCTAGATGTCTGTTGATCTCCCCTGATTTGACAGATTCCCCATGGCACTGGAAATTTAATGACTTGATGCAAAGTTGAAGGAACAGCGTCCATCTCGTGGATCCATGGTCTCCCAAGAATCATATTGTAAGCCATCTACATGTCTACTACCTGGAACTTTGTATCTTTGACGACTCCTTCAGCAAATGTGGTGAGCGTTACCTCTCCTTTTGTAACAACGCTGGAATTATCAAACCCAGATAGAGTATGTGCCTTTGGTATTACTTTTTCTTCATCTTGCATCTTACGTAATACTCGTATCAAAATAATGTTCACAGAACTACCTGGATCAATCAAAACTCGTTTCACGTTAGTGTCATGTACAAGTAAAGATATTACCAGTGCGTCGTTATGTGGAGTTAATAGACCCTCGGCATCTGCATCATTGAATGTAATATTTTCTTCCTCCAATATATGCCGCAGCCGCTTCCCGTGAGTAATTGTTACTTTGGAAATCTTATTCGCTGCGTATATGACACGCCATTGATATCTTCACCCCCACTTATAACGTTGACAGTTCTTTTGGGTGAAGGTGGCTTTGGAGGCTCCTGCCTGTTCTTCATGTATGCTTGTTTACCTTTCTCACTGAATAACTCAGTGAGATACCCCTGTTTTAGCAAATGATCAACTTCACCTTGCAAAAACCTGCAATCTGCTGTTTTATGCCCGTGATCGTTATGAAATTCGCACCAATGATCAGGGTTTCGTCTGTTTGGATTCGATCGCATTTCCTTTGGCCACCGTACCTTATCTCCCATGCTTCTTAAAACAGCTACGAGCTCAGAAGTGCTTACGTTGAAATTATAACCACCAAACCTTGCCTTCAGACCCCTATCATCATCTCGTGGCTCGCGTGTGTTTCGATCATTCCCAAATCTGGAAGATGAGCCTGATTCTTTATTCCTTGATCTGTGATCGTACCTCTGATTATCCTGCTTTGATCGTGAGTCTCTCCCCACAGGTCCCATGTATGGATCGTACCTGTTTTTACCAGATCTTTTTTCATTTTCTGCACGTCTTGAGCTTACTTTTTCTTCTTTTTTATTGTCGTAAAATAATATCTTCTTCAATCCTCATCTTTGTACTGTATCTGTTATAGACATCATTCCACGTCGTTGCTGGAAATTCTCGGAGGCTTTCCTTGAGTCGCCTCGTAGCTTCTGAACTGTTCTCATTCAAGTTGCTTGTGAAGGCTATGGCTGTCCAGTTGTCAGGTACACGTGGCAATGTCATTCTTTCACGTTGAAATCTGTCCACGAATTCTCTAAGCAATTCTGAGTCTCCTTGCTTGATCTTGAAGATATCTTCCATTCTTTTTTCAACTTTTTGAGCTCCCGAGTGTGCTTTGATAAAAGAATCTGCAAGCTCAGCAAAAGAATTTATAGAATTTTCGGGTAAAAGAGAATACCATGTTAACGCTCCTTTAGTGAGCGTTTCACCGAATTTTTTGACTAAGACTGATTCAATCTCCTGCTTAGTCAGGTCGTTGCCCTTTACGCCTGTTGTAAATGCAGTAACGTGGTCTCGTGGGTCTGTTGTTCCATCGTACTTTGGTATATCATGCATTTTGAACTTCTTTGGAATTTGGAGAGGAGCAACACTTGACTTCCAAGGCTGTTGAGAATACTTATCCATATCTACCCCTTTGATCACGAGCGGCACCCCAGGTATCTGCTCTATGCGGTCACTTTGCTCCTTGAGCTGTTTCTGCAATGTTAGTACTAAATTCTGTAAATTAGAATTATCTGGTTCTCCCTCCTGTGATTCGCTGGGGGTTCCCCCACTACCCGAATTAACGAGTCCGGAACGAGGGTTCTCTAGAGTGTTGTTATTTGGTGTGGGTGTAGGTGGTGCAACAGGTAATTGACTGACAAAAGCTTGAAGAGCTTTATTGACTTGTGTGGCGATAAGTTTTTGTAAAGCTTCATCCATAGCCTCCACATTTTCGAATTGAGCTTGTCCATCTGTATTTGACCCCTCAGGAGAGCCTTCACGAGACCGTCGTGGAGAACCTTGTGGAGAAGGAACTAATGCGTTATTATCCTGCAGATCTCCCTGAAGTTGCTGATTTGTTTGATTTTCTTGGTTTCCTCGAGTGTTATCATTGTTATTTGCCATAGTTGATGTAACAAGGAAAATTAAGCAAAGATGAAATAGATTATCAGATTCCCGGTAACAGAACCAATTTGTTTAACCAAAAAATGGAATTTTAGTCAAAGCTAGAATTTAGAAGAACTCGGGTTACTGATAATCAAAGAAATGAATAAAAGGAAATAATTCTGAGTAGCAATATAATAATCAAGAAAAACGAATGATACCAATGTATATTTCAATAGCTTTTCGTGTCCCTTACAACTGATCATATATCTCCTTTTTATAGGTACCTTTGAGAATGTACGTTATGCCCAAATCATAATGAGGCTATTATGAATAATTAAAGACATTGAATGCTACGTTACACAATCATTACATTGAATATAAATATTTCTTAACGAACTCAGCATTTAATCCCATTAAATGCTGTATCTGCACGCTTTTTTATAACCAGATTCATTCCTTCTGATGCCAGGATATAAATGATTTAAATAGGTACGGGCGCCGTGCTACTTATCTGATGTCCCGTGCCTCTTCCTCCTTCTTTGCTCGTGTCTGTTTTACAATTCTTGAATCGTGTCTAATTGAGATTTATTGACTATTTGACCAATCCACGTGTCCTGACACGTCACCATATATATAAAATAAAATTTTCCACAATACATCCAGCAAGCACTTTGCCTTAACAAAAGATTCAGAACAAATCATATCTAGCAAGTATTTTGCTTTAGCAAAAATACGAAATCAAAGAATAATGATCTCAAGCAGTAGCTCCTGGTGCCATAAGATAAACCGGTCTCTTGTTCAGCGGTTGCATTGGCCTTGCATTACTTGCAGCATACTGCAACCAAAAGTAGATTATAGTATTAAAAATCCAAAGCGTACAAGCGAAAGACTCTACCTATCCAATATTAACAATGAAAGAAACTCATCGCAAATGATAGGACAATATAGAGGGTGAAATTAAAAAATAGCCAGATTTAAGTGGTAATTATTAAATAGCCACAGTTGCAAAAGTAATTTAATTTTAGCCACTTTCATGTAAAGATAAATCTGAACAAAAATAATGTTCAAAATCCGAAAATTATTCCAGCATAATATACTGAAGTTTTCGCATAATATACTGGAGTTCCAGCATAATATACTGGTCCAGTTCAAACACAAATGCTCCAATCTCCAGAATATTATGCTGGAATTTTTCGTGTATTAGAGGTCCAACATAATATGCTGGAAGTTCATACATAGGTGCACCGATCTCTAGTATATTATGTTGGAACTTTCCGTGTTGCAGCAAAATAGTGGTTATTTTCAATGACTTTGCAAACGCTGGCTATTTTTCAATTATCAATCAGAAAACTGGCTAGCCCGTGCTATTTCCATCAATATAGATACTTAGTGGCCCGCAAGGGTTGACTGAGTTGGTCGGGTGAGTAATTTCCCACATGGGAGACCTGAGATCAATTTTCCTCGTCACCAGCCTCCTCAGTCAGAGCCCGTCGCACTAAGTTTGTCTAGTGGGACTTACATCTCCTGTGTAGTTTACGAGCCATTACACAGTGAGTAAGTTACTCAGTACACACCCGAAAGGTAGCGGTGGAGAGTTTCCTGAGAATTTTTCAAAAAGATAAAAAATATAGACACTTGTGATGTTTGATATGACGAAAGTCATTCTCTCGAAAAATATTTTCTACGAGGAAGTCGTTGGCATTTGGTTACTAGAGAAAGGGGAAATGGACTTCTAATCTCATGTATGGACGGGCGTCATTTTCCTTACAATTACTATAACGTTTAATTTCATATCGCTTACTCAAACCATCAAACCTTTAATACTGAAATATTTTATTGAAACACTGTCTGATTTGCTAATTTTATTAATAATTTTTAATTTTAATTAATATACAGAAAATTAATATTATCCATAGTAAATGACTTCCGTCGATGAGGGAACTTACATCATGAACGGCTTCTCTAAGCAATTTAACTTGATCTCTTGAAATAGTCCGTACCTAATATTGATTCAAATTGCAGTATGTATCAAATAATAATTTATGTTGAACAGAATAATACGTTAGTAAATGAGGAGTTATTTAATGTCAAGTTGCTACCTTCTTTTTGATAGACCAAATGACTCCTTCAGTGCAAGGAGGAACTGTGAGTGAACCCAAATATCTGTAATATTTTCTGCTACCAATCTTGATTTCTCTGGGATTGATCATGCCTGCGTTTTTCACGTCGTCTTTTTTGTCAATCATAGATGATATATTTCTTATCAACTGCATGCCAATAAAATATTACCCATTGCATTAGAAATTAAATAACACACTTTAAGAATGAAGAAACATGTGGTCGGAGTATATACAAACGAGAGGTTTACCTTGGAGAGAAATTTGTCGGGTTTGCCAAACTTGTAGAGGACTCCAATCACAGCTATCTTGTTTGTCGCATTTTGGTTTAAGTGAACCATATGCATTTCCATTGCATACCTGTCCCAAAAGTATCCCAAAGTTTAACATTAAAATAATAGGAATTAATTAAACTAATCCAATTACTAATAAGGATGCTTAGCGTAAAGCTGACAAAGTAGAGGGACAGAAAAATAAAGGAATATATTCTCCTACCTTCTGCCATTAACAGTATGCTCTGAAGGAGAGTGCCAGTGGGCTTGCTGTAGAGGATACTCTGTTCCATTTATCAAAACAGATCCAGCATCTCCATGCCATTGTAACTGCATCATTTCATTAGTTGAGCTTAATGCCATTTTTCCCTAAAATATCGCTTCTTTACGTTACCGGTTTCAATTAATGATGAATGCCCAAAATTAACTACTCTATTTTATTATTAAGAGTGGAAAGAAGGAAAAACCAGAAAAATATATTCTTTTTCTTTTTGTGAAACAAAGGTACACATTGTAATCGTAGTGGATTGGATCATGTAATGGTTTAGCTTGTTTGAGAATCATGGTAACGTGAAAAAATGCATATTTTTCTATAGCACTTTCTATTAAACCAACAAAATAATAAAGTAATCTATTTATACTAGTATATTAAAAGTACAAAGGCCCTTAGCGAAATGTCGTTTGTCTTTTTTAAACTAGAGTTCACATTAGACAAAATAGTCATTTAATTTTTTTCCTAATATTTATGTCCTTGAAATCAACTTAAATTTTGGGATATAAATTTTCTCTTATTTAAACTATGTACAAATTTCTAAAGTATAAAATCTTAAAATTGAGTACTTTTAATTATGTAAGACCTTTCCTTATTAGAATCGTATAAACTAGCTACAACAAAATAATCCTTGTTATTCACTTTCGAATTACAAAAAGATTTTCTTCCATCACCTGGAACCTTCGTTCTCCTTGTATAATTTTCATCTTATGCTTTTCTCCAAAATACTACTTCTATAAGATTGTCCCTTAATTCGTTTAGTACTTTTATTTTAAATTTTATTATTATTTTTGTTTATAATTTAACATTACTGTTGTGCATGATAATATTGTTCATCAAATTTGAGTTATTTGTGATAATATCAAATTGAAACAATACCCTACAAGACAATTTAATGTGGGTGTGACATTCCAAACAACAAAACTTAGCCACAAGTGAATAATACGAAAGAATTACCCTTCGACGAAGGTTGTTCATGGTTCGGTTTGGATCGGTTTTTTCCTAAGAAGAAACCAAACCAAGTAAGTCGATTTTTCAAATATTAGAACCAAACCAAACCAATTAAGTCGGTTTTTTCTCGATTCGGTTTATGTCGATTTTTCGATTTTTTCGGTTATTGTCAGTTTTTTCTTAAATATAAGACATACACTACCAAACACATATTCTGGAGACCACATTTTCAACGTAACACTATCAATTCAATTGCCTTTGAGAAATCTATTATTTACCAAGATATATTGATGATAATTGAATCAAATAGTGATGAATAATTTAAGGACTCAATTAAAAATCTATTATTTTTAACACGAAATGGATTCTTACACTTAACAAAAGAAAACTACCAATCAAACTAGAATGTAAAGGTAAAGAACTATACTAAAAGTGCAAACTATTAACATTTACCATTAAATTTTTGAAACTTTATATAAAAATATACATATATATATATAGGTGTAATAATGAATTTGAAATAGCTACTCCTATAGCCGGTTTGGTTCGGTTTTTTTCTGATTAAAATCAAAACCAAACCAAATTTGATCGGTTTTTAAAATTCAAAACCAAAACCATACCAAACCAAAAAGTATCGGTTTTTTTGGTCGGTTTGATTTGATTTTCGATTTGGTTCGATTTTTCGGATTTTTATAAACACCCCTACCCTTCATATATGAATTATGCATACAACGGTAGGATTTCATCTAATATTGTTCAATCCAATTTTCTCCAGTGCTAATTTAGATATTTGCCTCATATTATCATTTAAGATGCAACAATGCCGTACAATCAAATCTTAATGCATATGTCTTAGAGAAATATATATATTTTTAGCCGTTCTTAAAAATAATAACTAATAAAAAATATATTGTTTATATATGTGTCTATTATATACATATAAAATAGACATATTTTATATACTTTTTAGCTAGCAAATGCAATTAGTTTCACCGTTCGATCAATTTTATATTTTACCATATATCTTATTTAAGATATAACAATGGTTCAACATTTGTGATCTTTTTATTCGGATAAAATTAATATTTCCCCCCAACTTTTTGATTTAACAATCAAACTTCCCTTTTAAAGTTTCCCCCTCGTATCTCAAAATAATTTTTAAATGCCTATTTTAAGCTGAAAATGTCATCAAGTATCAACCTTTATATTTCAATTTTTAACATCACGAATTTTTTTCAAGTAAATTATAGTTTAGGTAATCAAGAAATTATAAGTTAATAACAGTAAATAGTGAAATAAAAGAGTAAATAAAATTTCTAGAATAATAATTTTTTTTCTCGATTAAGTAATTCTATTACTAATCAAAACTATAAAAAGAAACTATTTGCATGATTGAGAATCTATTTCCTAAAAGATTATTTATTTATACTGGAATGAATAAAATAAAATAAATTTAAATTTAATATATTGACTGTGATGAGTTGAGGATTTTTATTGGAAATTTATTCCCATATTGAGTTAGCTAACTAAGATCTACAATTATTATTTCAAAAACTTATACTTCTTCTTTAACTTTTCTTTTTAACTTAAACACAATTTTAATATAATACTTATATGATTTTTAAAAAATTACTTATTTAAATAAGATACACCCACAAAGCACGTATCTTAAGATTAGTTATTATTAAAGGGAAAAGAGAGGTTAAAGTCCGTAAGCATCTATAAAATTATAGAAGAACGTGTAACATTCTCAAAATACGAAGAATAAAACATTATATTTGTCTTGTAAATTAGCAATTTTTAATTTGGGTCACCGACCCAGCTGTCTCTAAAGTTGTTTGTGCAAACTCCTAGCACGTCAACAGCTACAATAATAAAACTATAAAATCGCTCCACCGACCGTGTAAAAAGCATGTAGTGCATACAGTCAGGTCGCTTTTTAGGATAATTGTCGATAAATATTTATAAATAAGTATTAATTGATAATCTAATTAAATTAAATTGACCAATTTTAATAAGTTAAATTGTATCACTACTTCTTTAGATTATCAATGTACATGAATCATGATAACTTAAGTTCTATTGTATGAAATGGTCGCCACAGAGCATCCAATTATCAAGTTTTTTGTGGATAGAAGGAAGGGAGTTGTTGGACGAAGAAACTTAAAAGTCACATATTGATTAATATAATAAAAAATTGTACAAATAACCACATAGATTATGATGGGATTGGAATAATTAGTCCAAGAACTATCGACAAATATGTGACAAAAAAATATGTTTGTCGTCAATATTCTTAGAAAATTTTGGTTATTTTTGTTGTTTTCAAATTTGTACTCATCAATACCTACCCAAAAGACTTTTTTTATCTATTTAAATATTAAACTTTTTACTATGGCAGAATTTAAAGTTTTCATGATATACGCCTAAGCTACACGTCACACCTGGAGCTCTACCATTAAAGCAAAACTTTGGGACAAGAATAATCTTCATGAGAAAACTTGTGCATATATATTTTTTTTTTTTTTTTTTGAGAAACGTACAATTCAAATAAGACTTTTTCATTTAAGCTTTTCAAAACACATGCATCAAAACACAAATTTCTCAACAAATATTTCTCGAAATCCTTTCAAAGGGACCGGTTCAAAATATTTTGATTGGTTTACGATAGTATTCATTTTCAAAAAACAATAAGAAACTAAATTCAATGGAATGCCCAGTTCCTTTTTAAGCAAGTTCACTAATTATTTCCTCCAAATCAATTTGGATAAATATGCATCTTAACTTTGAAAAACTTAAACTTACGGAAATGTCGTGACCTCTGTTCTTGACAGTAGCATTGCAAAGCTTGTAATTCCTTTTCTCTGGCTTTCGGATAATTCTAACTCTTTCATTTGACAAATCTATAGGAGACTGCATCTCCCCACTATTGCAAGCTTCCCATTCTTTCTTCATTTTTCCCCACATTCTTGGACCTTTTTCACTTTTTACAGCATAATCAAACTCCCTCTCATCCTCTATATCACAAACACCATAAACCAAATATCAATATATCAAACAATTAAAAAAAATAAGTAATACATAAAAAAGGAGATGTCGATGCACTAAGCTTAGCTATATATACGATCACGAAAGGGCAAAGATCACTTTTAGCCTGCAGCCGAAATTATTTTTATTCGATAGCCGCAAAAGTTTATAATATTTTTTTGTCTATAACATACAAAAATATGTATATATACAAAAATATATTTTTTCGAGAGCGGCTATACAATGTCATTTTTTCATCAGAAAATAAGGACAAAAAAACATTAAATCTTTTGTACGGAGCCTTAGATTTAATATTGTCTCAATTTTTCGACCCTAATCATAACAAAAGCTTAGTGCTTAAGGCTATCCTTTTTTCTCTATACAGAAAAAAAAAAAAAAAAACACAATAAATATTGTAGCGCTTACCAACTTCTTGAGCTCTAATGGATGTCGCAAAGAAGAAGAGAACGAAATAAAACAAGACCAAGACTGACAAATATCTTTGTTGCCTCATTGTTAGAAGCTAGTATTTTACTTATTGGAGAAGAAAAATATAAGAATGAATTGTGATATTCAGAGGGTTTCGATCACCTACTGGCTTTATATAGATGAGATCTATGGAAATAGAAGTTCGTAATCTGTGTGTATTTCCCTATGTGGCTGCCACATGAGACTTTCCTATCAGTTTCTTCTTTCAAATTTCATTAGACACTACTATTAAAAAATCATGTGGCGACAAATTAAAAAAGAAAAGAAACATGTGGGAAAAAGAAATGAAAATCAGTAGATTTACTGGTCGTCTTGTTTTTTACGACCTAATTAATGAAACTCCTTTCAAATTAATACTATTATTCTTTTCTTTCCCTTTGTCTGTGAGCCAAGCTAGTAAGACCATATTTGAACAATCTAGAAAGCCTATCATTCAAGACTAGTCAACGTACATTCAATGGTCTTAAAAATGTGTATTAAAATTCCAAATCTGAAAATGTTTAAGCACTATTGCATTTATGAAAAAACATTTATACAATTATGTACTACGAGTAAATTATTACTCCCTCCAGTCCACTTTAAGTGATTTTTTGGCTGTTTTCACACATATTAAGAAATCCACCTTTTAGTATTAATTATCAATATAATTAAAATTGACCATACTAACCTTAATTTATTCATCGGAAATACAACAAATACTCCTAGGCTGTTACGCCAAGGACAACTTTGGAAAAATGAAGTTACTTCTTTCTTAATAGGCGGAATACATACAGAGACACCTAAAGTTGGCACCATTTTTATTTAGACACTTAAACTAGGCCTCTTTCCATCTGAACTCATTTCGTAGGCATATAATATACCAATTAGACACGTTTTGTGCATGTGACATATAACGTGAGTTATATCCTATTTAAGCGCGTGAGAAGAAATTCTTCAGCTGATATATGTCTAGTAACGGTAACATCTGTGAAGTAACGTAATTCTTTATATTTCTCTATTTAAACCCTAATTCATTTCCCAATCGTAAAAAATCCAATTTTGCTGCTCCAACATTTCTCCTTCTCTTCTTGGTGTCAATCCTTTTCTTCTTTTCTTTCTCTCGTTTATGTTGTTGCTGACTTTACTTTTCTTCTCTTTTTTTCTCTCGTTTCTGTTGTTGCCGAGTTTATTTATCCATTAACATCGAACTTATCAGAACCGACAATTCGTCAATGTCACCTTGCGCTGCCGCTCGAATTTGTAAGTGTTGTGTTTCTCCAAAATTGAATACTTCATGGACCCAACTAAACCCAGGTCGTCGATTTTTTGCTTGCAAAATCGGAAAGGTAAATTTTTTGTTCTTAATTGTATCCTGTTTTAATTATTTTCTTTGATAATAATAGATCAAATGTGTTTGTGATTTTTGTACAAAAAGGGTGAATGTGATTATTTCTGTTGGTATGATGATGAGATGCCTACTCAAGCAAAGAAAATAATTTGGGGTTTATTAAAGAGAGTCAAAGTTTTGAAAAGGAGAAAGTTTGAGCAAAAAGAAGAGTGATCCTTTTGACCGATGTTGTTGTATTGTTACTCGTTTTATGGAAACTGTAGGGCTGATGCCCAGCCGTGATCTCTAGGTGTTGTTGTTGATGTCTTTAGATGTTGGTGCATCTTGTGTTTTGATGTGGTTTGCAGATTATTTTAGTTGTTTTAGGTGTTGTTGCTGCTGCACTTTTGTAATCATAGTACTGCGATGTAATGTTATATTTTGAAAGTAATAAAAACTATTTTAGCTGCTATTGCTGCACTAATTTTTTTGCACAACTATTCTTTGATATTGTAAAGAAGATGCGATCAAAGTGTTGAAGATTGATGCACTATGTTCTACTAAGCTTCCTGTATAAATTCATTACGAACCCAATATCAAGTTTGTAACATTCTGTTATGGAATCAGATAAAAACACTTGCTATGCAACATTGACACAAAGAAATGATCATTCTATTAATAAGAACATGAAGATTACACAATTGAATAGAACCATAAGAGTTTAATTCTTCAAAAACTAGATCCCAAAATATAACAGTTTGCTGCTACCTTAGAGTCAAGAATAGCTTGACTATAGATAATTGTTTGTTGCTACATAATCATATACTCAAAAAATAAGTTCCTAAGATACTACTTCTTGCTGAAGTTTGCCTTCATCTGCTGCAACTGGGAAGTTGTGACAGCATCATGACCCTTCCACCTCAAGCCTCTAGCCTTAAAACCAAGGTCTATGCCTGTTGGAGCTGCACTCTTATAAGTTGAACCACTTGCAAGAACTCTTTGACCTGATGTTTCGGGCTGTAGTTTGCCAAATAATGAAGTACAATCAGTAAGTTATTCTAAGTCATATTATAGATGAAATATGTATGAATATATACATTTAGTATTTGAGTTCCAGTTGCAGCTGTGTAGATGCCAAATCCAACATTTTTGAACCTTTTTTCTCCTCCTTTTTCAGCAACTTCTTTACCGCACCCCTTCCTCTCTTTTGGACAGTAGTTTCTTTACCCTTTGGAGGAAGTTGACTACCTAATCCTCTTCAAGCGGGCCTGCAAGAATCTGTAGAAATTGGTGGTGGTTGACTTGAGCTTCTAGCTTCATGAATCCTTCTAACACTTGTTGTATCATCGCAAATAGAGTTTGAGGTTGTAGGTTCGATTGAGCTTCTTGCTGCATCAGGTTGGCTTGCTCCCTATGAGCTTTGGCTACCTTGCTGTGAAGGCATCCAATTTTCAGCCTGTATATAATGAGCAACAGTAAACCTTTGACAATGACAATGACAAAGGTGGAACGACCCGACCGGTCGTTTGCCTTTTTAGAACCCCGTTCTCCCAAATAACACTCTCCGTGCTTGCTTTAACTAATTTACGACTTGCGGGGATGGTTGGTTCGGGATTTGGAAGAGTTTGGATTAAAATATGTACAATTGACTCTTTAGGATTTTCTTAAAAGGCTAAGTTTGACTTTGGTCAATATTTTGAGCAAACGTGCCCGGATTCGTATTTTGACGGTTCCGGAGGGTCCACAGGAAAATATGAGACCTGGGCGTATGTCCGGAATCGAATTTCGAGGTCCCTAGCCCGAGTAATGAATTTTTATTTGAAATTGTTAAACTAAAATTCTATGGATTTAAAGAAACTAATTAATGATTGATCATATTGGTATTGGGCTCGTATGTTGGTTTCGAGGCCCAGTACAGGTCCAATATAATATTTAAGACTTGCCCGCAAAATTTGGTGTCAATCCGGATAGTTTAAGGGCGTTTTGGCCCGTTAGAGGAAAATTAAGAACTTGAAGTTCATATGTTTGATTCAATTGGTTTTAGGGGGTGATTCTTAGATTTAGCATTGTTTCGGGCATTCCGAAGGTTCGAATAGGTCCGTTTCGCAATTTCAGACTTGTCGGTATGTTCGGTCAGGGCTCGGGAGCCCCGAGCGTCAATCGGACGAGGTTCGAGTGAAGTGGAAATTTTTTAGAAGTGCTGAAGCTGCTGCTTCTGTCATAATCGCACCTGCGGTTGGTGGACCGCAGGTGCGAGACCGCAGATGCGGTCCATCTATCGCAGATGCGGCCCAGAGCTGGCCAGGCCAAACCGCAGAAGCGGCTACGCAGATGCGGCTTCAAGACCACAGAAGCAGTCCCAGCCCTTTTAGCCAATTTCACAGGTGCGGTCCGTTCTTGCAGATGCGGGACCGCAGAAGCAAAAAATGCTGGGGCAGTGAGCTTCATTTAATTCGAGCTCCAGCCATTTTTGACCATTTGGCACACGGGTATTGAGCGATTTTGGAGCTCTTGAGAAGGGATTTTCACATAGCATCGTGAGGTAAGTTCATCCCCCTTATTTCTAAGTTTAACACTCGAGTTTTGGATAGATTAACACCTAAAGATTTGATGAAATCAAGGGGTTAGAGTTAGACCTAGGATTTTAATAAAACTTAGATTTTACCACGAAATTTATAATGAAATGAACTAGAAATTATATATTAATGATCCTTAGGTTATAGAGAATAACTTCCTTCGAAAAATTTCGGAATCCGGGCACGTGGGCTCGGGATCGGGTTTTAAGAAACTTGTGGTAAGGGTTGGAAAATTGCTTAAATAGCTAGAATACCATCTTGTGAACTTATATTGATTAGTTCCTACCTCATTTAACTAGTTTTGGATCGTTCGGCTCCGAATTGAGGGTTTGGGCTCGTTGTTGGCATTGGAAGTGCACTTTGGAGCGAGGTGAGTCTCCTTTCTAACCTTGTAAGAGGGAATTGTCCCCATAGGTATAATAATTGAGTTATTTGCTACTAAATGCGGGGGCTACGTACGCACTAGGTGACGAGAGTCCATGCGTAGCTACTACTATGTTAATTGTCCGGGTAGTCTAGGACTCATATCATGCTTTATTGGCGATTGTCTCTATATTTTTCCTGCTAATGTGACCACTTAGGACGTGCTAGAGTCAGTGAAAGGAAAATAAGCGAATGCATATACTTGTGGATACTTGTGTGAATTTATTTGGAAATAAATGCACACTCATGTGTTTTCTTGATATAAATTGATATTTGTGGATTGGGCCGATCGCCTCGGTAGAAATAGATGCACCTATGGTTCGCGCCATTCGACCCTCTGGCAGTGCACTGTTTATTTGCTGTTGGATCGGGCCGTCGACCTTGGCATAATGTGCGCATGATACCTATGTGAAACTTCATCTATGACTTGTCCTGCTAATTAATTGAAATGTGATTGGTTGACTGCAAAGCTGTTTAGAACATGACTTATTATCTCTTGCTATACACTGTTGATTTTCTGTGACTCCCATGCTTAGCATAAAAACTTATTATTTTATTTGACCCTAGTGGTATCAAGTCGACCTCTCGTCTCTACTTCTTCGAGATTAGACGGGATACTCACTGGGTACATGTTATTTATGTACTCATACTACGTTTTTGTACTTAATTGTACAGGATCTGAGGCAGGTATATCTGGCTATCAGTTTGGTGCACGCCCCTGATTCATAGTTTGAGACTTCCATGGTGAGCTGCTCCCTTCCTGTGACGTTCGGCTGCTTGATGGAGTCTTTTCTTTACTTTTGCTGTCTATTCTATCTCGGACAGTAGGATAGTTTTATTATTTTGTACATTCTACTAGTTGCCCATTACTTGTGACACCAGGTCTTG